TCATATCTTCGCAGTCAGCGCAGAAGCATTTATGGTCACCACACCCACCTCTGTTCCTGCCTCATGGGCTCCTGGAGTCGGTACTTTTAGCCATCATAAAAAGACTTATGTGACCTGTACGAGTGGAAAAAGTCTGAAGCTTGCGACAATGGAAGGAGTGGTGTCGAAAGAATCGGATCCGAGGACTATGGATCGTCCACGATCGATCCAACACCGTAGCGTTAATTTAGAAAACTAACTGTGTACCTGCTTTATGAAGGGAGAAGTATATCTTTTCTTTTTACGTTCGTGGCATTAGGATGTTGGGACAAAATGACTCATTTTCCGTTTCAGGGGTAGTAATCGGTGTTTTTTGCACTGCACGCTAGAAGGCGAACAGCTCCTAGTAGTTCTGATTAATTGTTTTTAAACCAGACTTCTACTGGGATGAAGCGTACGGAGGGATGCAGCTTCGCGTTACGTTCTTCTAGTTGAGGATCGACGACTTCCGTCGTTCGTTGTAAAAAGCAGAGTGTCGTTTTAGGAGTTACGTGATTGGTTCGTTGGCAGAGATGCCCAAAAATGTCGCCTCCCACGACTTCGGCAGCGAGGGTAGCCAGATCGAGTACGGCCTGACCATGCCTTTGTAAGATCACGTACCGTCCGAGGCTATTTTTTATGGTCTTGTTTCCCAACCCTTCGCGGAAGTTCGGTTCCTTCGCACGAAGGCAAAACAACATTTGGCGGCCAAATGCACACCGTGAGAATGCGGAGAAAGTAAAAAATTCCCAGGATGGTACGAGGTCTCGTGAAGTTATAACTATATACTCTAATTACTACAAGCATTTTTGTTATGGACGTAACAATCGGTATCGACAATGAAAGTCGCCCTTTGTTGCTTCCATAGTAGTCCTGACTGGCTGGCGGATGATGGCAAACTGTCCAAGGGGGGCTGATCAGGAGCCAAATATCCAGCCAGGCAGGACTTATATTATCCTTTCAACCCTGAAGAAGTCCAACCGAACTGACTACCCTGCATCCTGGCACCGCCTTCACCGTTTCCCATGCCATGTACGGATACGTGGGGCGGTGGAAAATACGTGGTGTCTCTCGTGGGACCACCTTCCTTGCCACGTGGAGGATTTTTACGTGCACTCCACCAGTGTTCAGGCTGTTCGGCGTGGAACGTATTGAACGTGAAACTCACCACGTGTTATCGGGGTGCATCCCTTCTTTCTCCTTTTTCCGGCATAACCGTAAGCGCGTTACGGTCGGCGTGGACCGTTCGCTACGGGATGCATGCTTTGGAAACTTGTTTCCCCAGCTTGTACTCTTTTTCTCCTGCCCCCGGTTTCCTTACGTCTTTCGCCACCCTTTGGCGGCCAACTTTTGCCCCTCTAACCCGTCCATTTCTTCCGCGTCGATAGTGCAAGAAATATGATGAATCCCGACTCGACTACATCATTTATTGGCTCACTTCCCCAAACAACGTTGTTTCAGTTGTTTTATTCACTAGATATTTTATGGCATATTTTATTTATTAAGAGTGTCAAATAACTGATGGCTTTCTTGTAAAATTAAGCCATCAGTCCTTTGGATGTGTTCTCGTCATTGTCAAATATGATGAATCCCGATTCGACTACATCACTTATTGGCTCACTTCCCCAAACAACGTTGTTTCAGTTGTTTTATTCACTAGATATTTTATGGCATATTTTATGTATTAAGAGTGTCAAATAACTGATGGCTTTCTTGTAAAATTAAGCCATCAGTTCTTCGGACGAGTTCTCGTCATTGTCACATATGATGAGTTCCGACTCGACCATATCACTTGTTGGCTCACTTTCCCAAACAACGTTATTCCAGTTGTTTTATTTACTACATATTTTATGGCATATTTTATGTATTAAGAGTGTCAAATAACTGATGGCTTTCTTGTAAAATTAAGCCATCAGTCCTTTGGATGTGTTCTCGTCATTGTCAAATATGCTGAGTCCCGATTCGACCACATCACTTGTTGGCTTACTTTCCCAAACAAGGTTGTTTCAGTTGTTTTATTCACTAGATATTTTATGGCATATTTTATGTATTAAGAGTGTCAAATAACTGATGGCTTTCTTGAAATATTAAGCCATCAGTTCTTTGGATGAGTTCTCGTCATTGTCAAATATGATGAATCCCGATTCGACCACATCACTCGTTGGCTCACTTTCCCAAACAACGTTGTTTCAGTTGTTTTATTCACTAGATATTTCATGGCATATTTTATTTATTAAGAGGGTCAAATAACTGTTGACTTTCTCGTATAATTAAACCATCAGTTCTTTGAATAAGTTCTCGGCATTAATTAAATGGAATTGCCGTTGCCAATTAATTCAGAATATATCATGATTACTTGGCGCGTCTTGTAGGATTTACTATATGTACTCCACATTTATGTATATCATTGCAAATTACATGATTACTGCGATAGTATGACAACTAACAGCGTACACCTCTACTAGTACCTTTAACAAGAAATTTTCTGAAATTTACTGAGCAGTAATTTGTGTATGCCCTCAATAATTGCAATGTTTAAGATATAGCGTTGGAAAATCTATTTGTTCATTAGTTTTATTCTTACTTGAATTGAAACAACTATTCGAGCTGTCACCAGTGATTTGAGTATCCTTCGAATACTAAAATATAATATTACAGGAAAATGGAAAAAGAACGGTCAGTGTCGATGTCCTCACATTGTGATTGTTTTATGCGTTTTAGTTATTCAAAAAATTCTTGAAGTTTTAAAATAAAACTTGTGTTTCAAGAATCGTTATTCAAAATTCTGCATCGTTTCCGTGAACTGTTTTAAAAGGTTATTTTAATATATTTGAACGTATTACACTTTGTATAATGTATAACTAATTATGGGCGTTTCCTTTCATTCGCATATAAAAATGATCTGAAAGGTTTTTTACATTTTCAATTGATGGTACGCGGGTAATTTGGAATATTTTTATGTTAATATATAAATTTGTTAGAGACTGAAGAAATAATTGTTTCAAAATGCTTTTAATTACAAAAAGAACGTGAAAAGAGTACTTGCGCCGTTTATGCCGCCTGTTGGTTGCAAGTGTCGCGTGCTGCTTTGCTTACAGAGTGCTCATTACGATTTACCTTTGCACAGTCATTAAAACGCATTTCGAGTTTTGCGTTGTGCTTACAGTTCAGTTTTCTGCATATGTTCACTTATGATAATATGAATACAACTTGAAACCATCGTGACGTGACTGGGACTTACTACTGATGTCCAACTATTTTATTGTTTACTTACTTGAATACGTAGTCTTTTCAATTCCATTGTCGTGCAATTGAAAAGACTACCTGTTCAGGTAAGTAAAGGACTACACGCAAAAGGAATGCCAACTACTTTTCAAAGACGTGAACATGTGCGATATGAATTATCACAAAAATAACAAATTTTATACGCACTTTCACAAATTAATTACCTATTAACGCCGAATCTATCAATGTTTCTAATCTTGTTGAAAGCATTGCAAATTGTATATCACTCGAATTACTTAGTTTTCATTCAAGAAACTCTTCGAGCGTTTCATTTCGATCAAAATTCTTTTTTAATTACATATTTTCTACAGCGGCCTCGTGTTTAATTGAAAGCAATTTAAATTTAATTGGCACGAGGAAAATCTCTTTCAAATACGCCATATTGGCAATAAAATATGCAGTGAAAGTTAATTAAAATATCTGTTATTTGTAAAATTATTGATAAATATGGTAGAAGTTTGTTGACATCATGTAAGAACTAAGAGTGTGAAAAAAGACCAGAATTTTCAACAAAATTACACAAAAATGAACAGAACGTACACGAGATTGAACGTAAGTACCTTGATCTATCACTTACCGAATAGAACAAAGTGGAAGATGTTGAAAAATGTGCACAATCTCTTTTCGCGATTTGAATTTAATGTCAACTAATTATGGGGATGGGAGATAATCGTTCTTCAATTCAAACTATTAGGGCATTAAGATAAATTACAAATTTGAACAATAATATCCAAAAAAGGAACAAGAGTGAGATTAGATACAACGTATACACCCTATGGTAACGTTTTTCGAGTAGAGCGAAGTACAAGATTGTACAAAATTATCTAGGATGTAGATGTTGAAAAATGTGCACAAACTCCTTTCGCGATTTGAATTGAATGTGAACTAATCAGTGGAGACGGGAAAGAATCGTTCTCCAATTCAAGATACGAGGGCATTAAGATAAGTTACAACTTTGTACAATCCAAAAAAGGAACAAGAGTGAGATTAGATACAGCGTATGCAGTCTGTGGTAATGCTTCCCAAGTAGAGCGAAGTGCAAGATTGTGAAAAATTGTTTAGGATTGTCTAGGATGAAGATGTTGAGAAATGTGCACAAACTCCCTTCGCGATTTGAATTGAATGTGAACTAATCAGTGGAGACGGGAAAGAATCGTTCTCCAATTCAAGATACGAGGGCATTAAAATAAGTTACAAATTTGAACAATATTATCCAAAAAAGGAACAAGAGTGAGATTGGGTACAGCGTATGCAGCCTGTGGTAATGCTTTCCAAGTAGAGCGAAGTGCAAGATTGTGAAAAATTGTCTAGGATCTCCCTTCGCCACATGAATCTGGTCCGGGCCAGTTTGTGGGGACGGGAAAGAATCATTTCCCAATTCGATTTGTGGGCGACGCCTGGAAAGAAGGGAAAGAGTGGCCGCCTTGATTCGCTCGTTCGCGTATCATCTCGCACGTCCTTCCAGGTCCTGGCAGCATCCTCGCTCCATGAGTTATAGACTTTGTTTTATACTTAATAATAAAGTTCCGGGGATAAAAGTGAAGTTAAAAGTTACGGCGTTCGTGATGCCGAGGAATGATAAATGGTTGGTCCCAGCATCGTCCAGGCACTGTTGGTGTACATCAGGGAAAGGCTTTCACTGGTTCTCTTTCTACTGCGAAAGTAGGAAACTTATTTATTTCATTACGTCGCGACGTGAATAACATAGAAAAATGCAGGGTCCGACGAATACACGAATAAGAGTTCTCGGTAAAGTACAAATTGTCATTGCAGTTTCCTCGTTCTTGTACATTCTTAGATTTCCACCAACAAGGACAATTTTCCAACACCCTGAAGGGTGCTTCAGTTCCGAAGTTACCTGACTGATGTTACTCCCTACTTCACTTATCTTATGATATTATAATATCAAACAGTCTTGAGTCAACCTCGAGTATCACGAAGATTACCTATTAGAGCGGGTTAAGCATTAAGTATAAAAATACAAGAAGCGTTAAAGCTACTATAGACCTATAGGTATGTGCCTTCAATTCGACGCTCTTTGGATTGTCTAATTTTAAAGAGATCCGCGTTTTTACCCTCTTTTCTTCTATTACGACAGCTGCGCGCTAATTACATAATTACTTCAATAGGCTTAGTCTTAATTACATTAATTTTGTCTATTGGTAACCGTTAGATTCTATATTACGTTGCATCGTAGCCTCCTCCCAGAATTGTTCTATAAAATCCGCGAAACGTCCGATCATTCGAAAAATGCTCACAAGCGGAATGTCCTACTTTGAGAAAAAAAACCACGTTAAACTGATATCGAGAAATTATGATTGATGAAAAATATCTTAGCCAACGGGTAGCTTAATGAGCTTAAAGGTAGCTTAAACGATATAACCTCTTCTTCATCTTGATATATTTCATCACTTTTTAGATACGGATTTCATTTAATTGTGTTAACGCTTCAATTCCGTGAATTCCCCTTATTAGCGGAAGAGTTCTCGCTAGATGACTTGTTCCCATAATTTTTAGACCATATAGACGTACTAGACATGACTTATAGTTCACTAGATCCTTGACTTATAAGTAGCTTAAATGATAAAACCCTCTAATTATCATCCATCACTTGATGGGTATCAGTTTTCGTTCAATTGAACCCAACGCTTTAATTGAATCAATTCCCACTGTTGGCGATAAAGTTCCAGTTTGGGGTTTTGCTCCACCTATTTTGGATAGTATGAGCTTTCCAGTCTTGATTTATAGATAGTTTAAACGATACAACCCACTTCTGATCACTTTTTAGAAACCAGTCACTATTTAAATGTACCAGTAATCTGTTTCCGTGAATCGCCACTATTAAATCCTGTTTGATGATTTGACTCCACTTATTTTCAACAATGTAAGCATGCTAGTCTTGATTTTTAGAGTTTAAACTACAGAAGCCACTTATCATCCGTCACTTCTTAGATGTCGGTTTCCGTTTAATCGTCCCAACGCTTTGATTGCCTGAGTTTGCGCCATTAACAGAAGAATTCGCGTTTGAGAATTTGCCCTCATCCTTTTTGGACAACATAGGTATGATAGACTTGACGTCCAGGTTTACCGCAGCACCAGCTCCTATTTTGCTCATCACTTTTTAGGAAGAAGTCATTATTTAAATGTACCAGCAATCTGTTTTCGTGAATCGCCACTATTAATTCCCGTTTGATGATTTGACTCCACTTATTTTCGACAATGTAAGCATGCTAGTCTGATTTGTAGAGTTTGAACTACAGAAACCACCTGTCATCCGTCACTTCTTAGATGTCGGTTTCCGTTTAATCGTCCCAACGCTTTGATTGCCTGAGTCTGCGCCATTAACAGAAGAATTCGCGTTTGAGAATTTGCCCTCATCCTTTTTGGACAACATAGGTATGATAGACTTGACGTCCAGGTTTGCCGTAACACCAGCTCCTATTTTGCTCATCACTTTTTAGGAATCAGTCATTATTTAAATGTACCAGCAATCTGTTTCCGTGAATCGCCACTACTAATTCCTGTTTCACTTCTTTTCGACAATGTAAGCATGTTAGTCTTGATTCATAGAGTTTAAACTACAGAAGCCACTTGTCATCCGTCACTTCTTAGATGTCGGTTTCCGTTTAATCGTCCCAACGCTTTGATTGCCTGAGTTTGCGCCATTAACAGAAGAGTTCGCGTTTGAGAATTTGTCCCCATCCTTTTTGGACAACATAGGTATGCTAGACTTGACGTCCAGGTTTGCCGCAGCACCAGCTCCTATTTTGCTCATTGGTACCGCAGCTACTTTCTGTACAATTTCCACTCTCTCCGCATAGATCTTCTCGGCATCTTCCTTTTTTCTGGAGAACGAAGGAATCCTCGAGACTTTTGGTTTCTCCTTCAGGGCTGGCTTCTCGTATTGACGTTCCAGTGTCCTGTCCCTCTCGGTATTTTGAACATTCTGCCTTTCCGGAGACGGAATCGCAGACACCTTGGGGATGTTCCTGTTGTCTTTATTCCTGGAAAGGGTCGTCGTTGGCTTTATAATTATCCTTGGCTGATTCGAACTTGCATTTGTCTTTGTATCTCTCGGCACTATTACAATTTTGGGGTCATCTTTGCCGTCTATTCCTGTTCTGGATGAGACTGGTTCTGCCGCAGAAGAGACCGCGTGGTAAGGTTGCATTATCGATCTCTGCTGGTCCATCATCGGACCGGACTCTGGTTCCTGATACGCGATCAATTTCTCACGTAGAACTCCTTCATTTCTTGGAGTAATAACTATCTTCGGTTCCTGGTTTTCCAAGTTGCCGCAACCCCCTGTCAAGTTCGACATAGTCTCGCTAAACTTCTGACCCATAGGATTTCTGGGTGTGATCACGATTCTAGGCTCCCCGACAGGTTTTGGTTTCCAACCTTGAGATTCGCTCCCAACGGGGAGCTGCCGAGGTGATTCAACTCCGACGTTCAGGATCTGTGGATCGGACGCGGAGGGTCCATATACACCTGCAGCCGAGTCCTCATTACCTGTTCCGTGCATTACGTCCGACCTGTACCAGTTTGGATTTCCAATGCTGGTGTTTGGCATGGATAAGTTCAAAACACGGTCCGACCTGGAATTTGTATCATTAAAGCGGCACCAGTTCGGAGTTCCGATGGCTCTGATTCGATCGCTTTGATGTAAATTACCTTCTGTAGAAATGGCGTTTCTCGGTGACATGTACGGTCCATGAAGAGGACACATAGGGTTATCGTGCCGCTCCTCTCCCCTAATTTCGTGCTTTGACCGATCCATCATGGTCATGCCAAAGACTCTCGGAAGGTCGTCATCTGATTTGTCAACGATGTTGGGGTCGGAGTTGTTCTTCGAGGACGAGTCCTGCCTCTTCAAGAGAGGACCGATGTGAAGTTCCGTCGTAACGGGCTCTCTTTCCCCTGAGTTCTCTAGTTCTTCAGCTAGATCGAGACTCTTTGACGTCCCAAACATCCTAGGTGGAGGGACAGGAGGCTGTGACGTTGGAGTCACAGGCTGTGACACATTTCTGCCGTCCTTCAGAGAATTCCCATACTGCTTTGGGATGAAGAGACTGTTCGGGGCAGGAAGGGAACGTCTCTTCTCAATGTCCGGTAGCACTTTCGGGTAGTTTCTCCGCTTAATGGTCTTCAAAGCTTCCTCCGGACTGATACTGTCTCTTTCGATCGTGGGTTCCCTACAGGTTACATTGACATCCACACGGTCTGGGGTGCCAAAGGTGACCAGCTTCGGCGCCGTCTTGGAATATATGTCTTCCATAGGAACTCTATCGTACAGATCCTCGTCGTGGTGCCTCGGTAGAGTTTCGGGGTTATTTAGAGCACCCATGCGAGGGAGTCGCGACTTCAACTTCGGATTGATCCTTGCGTAAAGGCTACTCGTACTCCCAGAATCCGACTCGTAGATTCGAGGAGAGGAGAAGTTCATTCTAGCACTTCTCAGCACCTCTTCCATCGGTAATGGGTCGCTTCTGGAATGGTGGTGTTCTATCACGACTACTTGGGGAGCCACGGGAAGCTGACTTCCATCCAACGTATCCACGGGGAGCTCCTCCAGTCTCTCCTTTGTTATCTTTGCATCCTTTACCAGCTCTATCGGAATCTGATTTAGGACAGACTCCGTCCTAGTTGCTGGGGTCGCATCGATGGCTACGGAAACTTTTGGGGGTTTTGCCTTTTTCCCTGGACATACTATCAACGTTGGACTTCGGTCATATACAGGCTCCTCTTGGACCGCCTTAGCTCTCTCTTCATCCTGCTTCCGCTTTGCTTCTTCCTGTTCTTTTGTCATCTTTTCTCGGTGCTCCCGCTGCAAAGTTTCTCTCGTTTTTCGCAGGAACCGCGGAGAACACCTGCAGGGGAGCAACATATAAAACTTGAATGGGCAGTACACGTACACAAACTTGATTATAATACGATGGCTCGGACTTTTTCATGCATTAGTTGCATTAGTACCTTTAATTAGTATTTCGTTAGCATTAATACTTCAAGAGAGGCAGTTTGAAAGCTGAACGAATGCAGGGGCTGAATTTGTGCAGAACGAGCGAAAATTAATTTTTTACGTCGTCACTTTCATGAATCGTGCAGTTAATGTTAGTTTATACCTTCATGTAAACTACAATAAATCATTCAACCAATATAGCATTTTCTCAAACTCTCACATTTTATTGCTCCATTATATAATAAAAATGTTCATCTTCAGATCGTATCGAACCTCATGAAACTTTTTTTAAATATTGTGTTGATTCTTTTTTTTAAGCAAATCCAAAACAATGATTCAGAGTCACTACCTAATTTCAATAACACGACTCTGATATAAGAAATATTACAGTAAGTAGTTCAGGTTTTTACAATTTCTATAAGGACACGAACTATTTTTTCAAATTGAATTAAGTATGAGTAGTATTTGACTCATCTTTCCTTTTTTCAATTTTCAGAAAGTGTTTCACACTTTCGGAAACTTTGATCTACCAATCAATTTATAGTAATCATGTTGTTTAATCGTAGCATCCTCACTGTCTACTACAATTTTGCGTTTATTGTAGCCAACTAAGTAATTGTCTGGATCGTGTACTAAACTGCTTCCTGCTACAATTTTACATTCCTTTTACCCAACTGAGTCCGTAATTGTCTAGATTATCTACTGATCTGTTTTCTGCTAGAATGTTGCAGTCCTTCTAGTCAACTAAGTCCGAAGATGTCTAAATCATCTACTGGACTATTACCTGCTACGATTTTGCATTTACTCTACCCAACTAAGTCAGTAATTGTCTATATCATCTACTGAACTACTTCTTGCTAGAATTTTGCGTTTCCTCTACCCAACTAAGTCAGTAATTGTCTATATCATCTACTGAACTGTTTCCTGTCCATTCATATGATACACATCTTAGGGTAAATTTCCATAGTTTACCGTTGAAGTTAAGAAAAGCTACGTCCACGTTAATCGCCGCTTCATTGTAGAATTTACGTAGCATTGTCGGCGTAATCCGGAAGTTGAGTGTACAGAAGAAGAACGTGGCGGAAAGTAGCGCGTAAAGCAGACATTATAAGATTAAGAGTTAAGAGCAGTTACCGGCCTGTTAATGGCGCATTGCGGCTCGCAGTGAAACATTTAGCCGATGTCGTGAACTCTTGCCGTAAAAGTCAGGAGGGCTGCGATTAATGACGCCATTAGTTATAACATGATGTCGTTACTTCACGTCGAGTTACGGTCACCGATTTAATATTAGTGACCAATTAAAAGCGACGCCTTTCTCGGATTGCGACGCCGAAATCTCTGAACGGCTACCGAGATCAGAGGGTGAACAACCCTCGAATCTTTCCGGGTAATTCTCTCACCCTTGCTTAATGCCGAATATATGGGAAAGTACCTCATTATGGTGGCGGGTGAAATGCGAGGCTGGGGATCAATCGACCCCAGTAAACGAAATCTCGAAATTGTAATGGAGACCGCAGGTTGATATTGACAGTCGATATTTGGGGGACAAGTGCTAACGGAATTCCGTAATTCGGTAATGAGTCCGATCACTCGTTAGACACTTCGAGGTTGTACTTCATGTTCGATGTAAAGGAAAATATTTATATGGCTCTTGTAGAAATATAGGTGCATGGGAAATTCATTAGCCTGAAGTGTCGTAGATGTGAGATAATCGATGCATATTATATTAATTTTTTACGAGAAGATAATCTCAGGTGTGGTAAAGATACCTCGCCATTGGCTCTTGCTGTAAACTTCGTACTTCTTCCCTCGTCTACGTGAAGTGTCCGTTAGTTACAATTGCACCGAAAAAAATGTAATTGAACCAGAGAAGAATTTGTTCGAATGGATACCAAAGAAATAATTCGTTGATTCGATGAATTTCACTCAATTGAAATAAATTGGATGATACATTTCTTTGATTCAGTGAGTACTTCTTCTCAGTGAACTTGTACGTTGATAGCTAAGGACATGTTCTCTATCTCCGAGGGTAGCACTTCTAATTAGGTACAGAAACTGTTTCAATGTTAGTAACATAAATAGTATCACTTTGAATTGGAGTATCACACGATGGGTACATCTGTTACTTTTAATTATACCTCCCTTGGTACCTGGAAACAGATTTTCCAGCTCTGAAAGTAACACCTCCGGGGAGGTGCAAGGAGGAGCTAATGCTCCGACTCGGTGGAAACCCTGCAGGGAAATTCGGGTCGCGTGGATCATAGACGAGGAGACGAATTAATTTCGGCAATTAAATTGCAAGAAGCAGGGATTCGCCTTGCGGGCCAAGAAACGCAAATGCCGAGGTTTCTCCTGTCTCGCGGCAGGCCCGGCAGTCTTTCGTAAATTAGCGCGGAAGTGGATCCACGCCCTGGTACTGCGCGGTTTCGCCCCAGCCTTCCGCGATTCCGCGGAATGCTCGGTACCGGGTCTCTTTAAGAGGATTTCCTAAATTGGATTACCGTCTCGCCTGAGGAACAATTTCGCGGTCTGAGGAGGTCGCTGTGCGCCTAGCGAGTTCACCAAATTAGGCGAAGACGCTCGCGGATGAGACAAAAAAGGACTCTCGGAAGAGGGCCGCTGCACGTGCGGTTTATAGTTCCTGAGGGACGACTCTTCTTCCAAGAGCTACTAATGAATCTGATTTTTCCTAACGGGCAACGATTACCAACACTACTACATCCGTGATCAAAGAGTCTTGTCTCTTGGGATTCAGGGACTTAGAAAAATCGGCTTAGACTTACATCCTCTGATAGTCATGGTGGAACCTTGTCCAGTTTCAGGAAAATTGATGTAGAGGATGTAGAGGGAAGTTGCGTAAAGGTGACATCAGATAAATTAAGATAATTAGGAGTTAAACGTAAATGTTGAAGGGATTGTTCAACCTGAGATACCTAAACCTGATGGAGCCTAACAATTTTTGCTGATGGCAGCGGTTGTTAGTGGTACATCAGCGACGATACTGGGTACATCAAGAATTGTCTTTTGCGATGCAGACACAACGAAAGTCGGTTTGGCGTTTCATCCTGGGACTATAACTTCGTTTTAGTAGTAAACAAATGATTTCAACGGCACGATTATGTAGTACGATCGATAGAGATTTTAAGTACTTCTTGAATCTGGATTATGAAAGTAAATTCTTCACTGTAAGCAGATATGAGTCGTTAGTGACCATTACTTAGAGTACCAATAGTGATACCAATAACCTGAAAGTGTTTATGATAAATGAATAGAAGTACGGCGTAGCAGTTATTATCAGGATGCATGTAGAAAGCACTAAAATCTCAAATCACAGCAATTGATATATTAAGTACACAATCCAAATTGCAACATACCTGTGAACTATTTCCTGTTGGATCCACTCCCTAACTTTAATGTGGGTGTCGATGGTGGAACTGGAATTCTCCCTCGACAATTTCGATCTCCTACCGAAATTTGAATTGTTATCGTATGCTTTATCGTTTTTTATCACGTCATTCAAATCTGGCTTGCTGCCGCATTTATACCCTATTTCCGGATTGGTATCAGTGTGCCGGTCCATCTTCGCCCTTTTCCCACTTTCGTCTTTACAACTCAGGCGTCTCTTGAGGCTCTTTTCTTCCCTTTTGAGGCTGTGCCGTTTGTGGTAGAGGTAGAAGAATGCGGTAATGTTGATCAGGAGGAACACTATTGCAAACCCAATCACCATTGTTATCGCTGAAGAGGCTCTCATGGCATTCGGCTCTGGAGTCGTGTCTGCTTCCCCTACTTGATCTTCCCTCTTCCCAGTCTCTGAATAGTCTTCGGAATCTCCGTTCAAGTTGCTCGGATACTGCGTAACGTCTTGCATATTATTAATTCTCTCTTTTGCGTACTTTGACCCGAAATTATCCGAACTGGTTATGCCGCTTGGGTATTTTGTTATGCCATCAGCTATGTTTAAGATAGCAGGCCTCGGTCCTTTGCGACGTTTCGGTGGAGAGATTTGCATATTGGGGTGCTTGATCAAGTTGGGCAGGTCCTCGTTCCAGAAATCCATTTCGTCAGCTCGGTAATACGTACTTACACGCGGCGGAATGGCTGCAACGAACAAATTGTAATGGATCATTCAGGGTTATTATCAATTACCTATCAGGCTTCCCCGTCAATCTTCGATAATACCCGATGAATCATTTGTATTGGGTTATTCAGACATTTTTATTTTTCACTGTTTAAGATTTAATGCTTTGTTCTTAATAATGTTATTTTTCCCTCACACCTGTGTTACGTACCATTTCAAAGTGTAGACTTCATTTTACATTTTGATAACAATAATTGTGCTCTGAGGGTGTCTTTTCATGTTAAACGAAATGATTCGGATATCGTCAATAATTTTCTGATAAAAAATTCACGACCGTTTCTGGTTTTTTAGCCTGTTACACGAAAATCCCCTCTTAAAGTACCAAGATAGCAATATCAAGTACCAATTAACTTACTTAGATTTAGGTATGTCTGATTCTCTGGATCGTACTCCGGCCAGTCGATGTCGTACTTTTGCCACTCTCTTGGTCCATCTGTGTAATATATTGATCTGTGTGGTGCGTTTGGATTTCTGATAACAAAAGAGAAATGATTAAAATGTACGACGGCAAAGAAAATTAAGGTATCATGTTTCTTGATAAGATTCGATGAAGCAAAATCTGAGAAAGGTTTCACTTTTTCTCATCTGAGCTGAAGCTGTTCATCTTCTCCGGTACATAAATTAAGTAATAACGATGAAATTAATTTGATGAGCTTTAGAGGAAGATAATCTCCGCCCGATATAACCTGTTGATTATAGGGTCATGGCGTAATAAAACTTAACGGATACGAACAGGTAATTTTGCATTAATTTACATGATATTGCGGTAGACAACAAGTACAATTAATGTATTAACAGCTGTACGATCGGTTACATCTCCACATTTCATTTGAAAATTTCTTATAAATTGTACTATCGATTTGCAGTTATCTGACATAAATATATTTCCCCCACCATTGGGGGATGAACAATATTTGAAAAACATGTTTTTCGAATATTGTTCCAAGAGTAGATTATGTAGATAACTATATGAAGAAGATGAACATTATTCAGTTATGAGAAACAGTGTCTCGGAACTCTTCATTTGAAATCTTTATTTTATGAGTCCTAAGATCTGCCGCTATAATTGATAACTCTAAAGTAAACTAAATTGTCGTTCCTCACATAACAGAGTCGGACGATATTAAGTTACTCGGTTACAAAGAAACAATGTCTCGGTACATTATATGCTCCAATTCTGATTTAAATCGTTCTAATTCTCGTGCCGTAATAACTGAGAGTTCCAAAAGTGAACCAAAGTCATCCCACCTATACAAAAGAGCGAAACGATATTAAATTACTCAGGTACAAAAATTATTGTTTTGAAGTACCTTATTCCAAGTTCTCAATTAAATGGCTCTTGTAATTAAGAGTTTCAAAAATTCACTGATCTTTCTTTACTTACGTAAAGTCTCATAATTCAATGATAGCGGGTACATGACCTATAACGAATCCATGTTTTATACGTATATTAAATATCTACGCTAGACATTTAAGGTCTATGAGACATCTGCATAAGTATTTTTAACGTTTATGCAATAGACGAATGTCCGCTTCATTTGCATGTAACATATATATTTTACATGTTCTGAAGGTATATAGCGTCCGATAAATACATAGCAATACGTAGATGTCATAGAAATTCGATGTGCATCTTATAGACGTATATTATTAATCTTTGATGAATGTAGATTTTTTGCAGCCATAAAGATATCGGATATACGTATATCAGACGAATCCTTAAGTACAATAATAATACAATTTACTGAAAATTGAAATAAAATATTAATATTTTTAGTCACTGTTTGGCATCCGATATTTGGTACCACAAATCCATTCGTAATAAGTACATGCACTTTCTAACAATTGATGCGTCTGTCTTATGGTACAGGAATGAAGGACTACGATCAAAGCGATCTTAATCCTCATCTTGGATCTAGTTTCGCCTAGAAACGATCAAAGTGATCTCAATCCTCATCTTTGATCTAGTTTCGCCTAGAAACTGATCTTAATCCTCATCTTTGATCTAGTTTCGCCTAGAAACGATCAAAGTGATCTCAATCCTTATCATTGATCTAGTTTCGCCTAGAAACGATCAAAGTGACCTTAATCCTTATCATTGATCTAGTTTCGCCTAGAAACGATCAAAGTGCCCTTAATCCTCATCTTTGATCTAGTATCGCCTAGAAACGATCAAAGTGATCTCAATCCTCATCTTTGATCTAGTTTCGCCTAAAAACGATAAAAGTGATCTTATTCCTCATCTTGGATCTAGTTTCGCCTAGAAAACGATCAAAGTGATCTCAATCCTCATCTTGGATCTAGTTTCGCCTAGAAACGATCAAAGTGATCTTAATCCTCATCTTTTATCTAGTTTCGCCTTGAAACGATCAAAGTGATCTCAATCCTCATCTTGGATCTAATTTCGCCTAGAAACGATCAAAGTGATCTTAATCCTCATCTTGGATCTAGATTCGCCTAGAGACGATCAAAGCGATCTTAACGTCATCTTCGATCTAGTATCGCCTAGAAACGACCAAAGTGATCTCAATCCTCATCTTGGATCTAGTTTCGCCTAGAAACGATCAAAGTGATCTTAATCCTCATCTTGGATCTAGTTTCGCCTAGAAACGATCAAAGCGATCTTAATCCTCATGTTGGATCTAATTTCGCCTAGAAACGATCAAAGTGATCTCAATCCTCATCTTTGATCTAGTTTCGCCTAGAAACGATAAAAGCGATCTTAATCCTAATCATTGATCTAGTTTCGCCTAGAAACGATCAAAGTGCTCTTAATCCTCATCTTGGATCTAGTTTCGCCTAGAATCGATCAAAGTGATCTTAATCCTCATCTTGGATCTAGTTTCGTCTAGAAACGATCAAAGTGATCTCAATCCTCATCTTTGATCTAGTTTCGCCTAGAAACGTTAAAAGCGATCTTAATCCTAATCTTGGATCTAATTTCGCCTAGAAACGATCAAAGTGATCTCAATCCTCATCTTGGATCTAGTTTCGCCTAGAAACAGGGAATCATAGCGACATCGATCGTTCCCACGCACCACGTCCATTTTCCGAGTGCCGTTATACTAAAGAGCTTTGTTTCGTCTAATTGGATCGCCCCAGTTCTCCTTAATCGATTCCCAGTCGAGGATGCATGGTGCATATGCATCTCCCTGCATTACGACAGCCGCCATATCGGTTGCGTTGCATGCGAGCGAACCGAGAAACGGATCGAAGCGTTCGTTATACGAGAGAAGATTACCCCTGAAACGAGCAAAATAGCGCCGTTCCTCTATCCGAGCAACCGTTCCGTATATTTATTTAAACCCTTCAAACGATCCGAACTTTGGGAAAAAAAAAGGGGGAAAGAGAGACGTCGAACCGTCGATTCAGCAGACTCTGTCCATCGGAAACGCGTCCTTTGTTTTTTTGCAAACTGTTTTCAACTGGAATTTTCAGCACTTTAAAGTACCTTTACAACTAGATATGACAGTTATTTCGGTATTAAATAAATATTACTGTTTTCCTTTGAATGAAAATTTCACAGAGGATGCAGGCGAATTGAACGAGCATTATTTCGCTGCATTTCCGCGCATGACCAAAGAGAAGCTTTGGCTGAAAGTGCAACAATAATGCACGCTGCTAAGAGACGTTAATGAGTAATTTCGGGTAATTCTAAACACTTTACAACTATTATATAGTCAGATGGTGCAGTAATGGGAAGTAAGCGAGGACACATGGACTGTTTGAAACGCGGATATGAATAAAAAATATTTTCGCGGCGGACAGTCTCGACAATTTCGCCTAAAGTGCAAGCAAATGTTCCCAGAAGATGTTGATAAATATCCTTCAAGTCTGAAAGGACGGTAATGTGACCAGTGAGTTTCGTTAAAAGTGAGTTAATAGCGATGGACAAATTTTTCATCGGAATGTATATGTTCAGACTTCCTAAAAATCTCGCATAAGGTCAGACTTCCTAAAAAATCTCGCAATCAGTCTTAAAGAGGATAAGTGGATTTAGAACATGAAACTTCTGAGTTAAAGAGAATTATTATTAATTTTTTATTATTCCTTCACGAAATGCTCTTGCGCGTTCGGTCCTGATTGTTTTGAGTGTACTGGTACAAATACACACAGATTAATATTAATAGTAATTATGTGTATGGTGTTTCACTTTTCACTCACTTCCTTCAACTAGCGAACTTGGCTTAAAAAGTTTCACTTCAATGATAAAGAATTATCTGTTTTGTAAAGAGGGACGTTAGGCCTTAAAATGATGACAGTGTACAGTGATTTTTGTCACAATTTCTAATGATTTTCAGAAATTTCTGCTAGCGATTTCCAGCTGATATCCACATGATTTCAAGGGTTAAAATCCATGATTTCCTAAGTGAATCCTCCCTCGGTCTAAACCATCGTTTAAAATAGGCATGACTTGCTGTTCAACTGTTATTTCATACTTATGGCGTAACCCTGTCGCTCAATTTTCACGTATTACATTTCGAAAGTAGGCATGAACTACTGCTCAACTGTTATTTCATACTAATGGCGTAACCCTGTCGATACATTTTCATGTATTACATTTCGAAAGTAGGCGTGAACTACTGCTCAACTGTTATTTCATACTAATGGCGTAACCCTGTCGCTCAATTTTCATGTATTAAATTTCGAAAGTAGGCATGAATTACTGTTCAACTGTTAATTCATACTTATGGCGTAACCCTGTCGCTCAATTTTCACGTATTACATATCAAAAGTAGACATGAATTACTGCTCAACTGTTAATTCATACTTATGGCGTAACACTGTCGATAAATTTTCATGTATAACACAAAGCGTTCTAGCTCATGTATTACATTTGAAAAGTAGGCATGAATTACTGCTCAATTGTTAATTCATACTTATGGCGTAACCCTGTCGCTCAATTTTCACGTATTACATTTCAAAAGTAGGCATGAATTACTGCTCAACTGTTAATTCATACTTATGGCGTAACCCTGTCGATAAATTAGTAGGCATGAACTACTGCTCAACTGTTATTTCATACTTATGGGTAACCCTGTCGCTCAATTTTCACGTATTACATTTCAAAAGTAGGCATGAATTACTGCTCAACTGTTAATTCATACTTATGGCGTAACCCTGTCGATAAATTGTCATGTATTACATTTCGAAAGTAGGCATGAACTACTGCTCAACTGTTATTTCATACTTATGGCGTAACCCTGTTGCTCAATTTTCACGTATTACATTTCAAAAGTAGACATGAATTATTGCTCAACTGTTACTTCATACTTATGGCGTAACAATGTTGATAAATTTTCATGTACTACGCAAAGCGTTTGGTCTGGTTCCCCTATTCAATCGAATACGGGCCAGGAAATTCGGCTATAACCAACAGAGTTTGAGGTCGCGAAGACGAACCATCCTAGCTTGGTTGGAGTCAGAAAGCGGGGGTGTGTCCGAGAAACTACTCGGGGTTACCAGAGCAC